CCTTCCCCCTTCCCCCCCTTCCCCCCGGGAATATACTAAAATAATATTTTCACAAATCCTTAAAGATTTAAATAAATCGTTCAAATTTAAGTAAGAACAAAGGCAATTAAGAAAAAAAAAATTCATTTCACAAACCTCGTCTTAACAACCCATATCGGATTAGTCATGACTAATGTAAAAAGACCAGCTTGTGCAGCGGCAAACATGTGCAATAATGAACCGAGAGGTTGTTGTGAATCGCCATCTTGTAACCAAATTTTCAAAGAATTGTAGCTGTAAAAAATTTAAATGTAGCTGTTAAAATGGAAATCTAATCAATTTTTTTCAATCAGAATTTAGAAAATAGGAAAAATTTTTTTCCTATAATAATAGGGGAATTTTTTACTTACTAAAGAAAATAAAGGCCCCACGAGCTGCCAGATCCCCAAACATTTGCAATGACACCTTTGTACAATCCTCTAACCCCTTCTTCTTTAACTATTAATTTGAATGCACTTCTAACGTTGAGGTACTGCGGAGTATGTGCTGATCTCCCATCGTTAACTACAAGTAAAATGCAATTAAAAAGTTAATATCGAGTGATTGCATTTAAATACAAAGGAACTGGTTATTAAAATCTAAAATTTTACATTGCATTGTAAAAATTGCTTATGATTGATTGAAACAAATTATTAAGAGATCAATATACTGTTCAATGGATTTAAAACCGTTTTATCTACCATGAACTTTTCATACCCTTATCCGATTATATAATTATTGTAAGGTCATTTGTTCACACCAAGAGACTAAAACAAAATTACATTTCCTGTTTAAATAAGCATAATTAAAAAAAAAAAAAAAAAAAAATGCTTTTTCTTTCAAGATATCGAGTATGTACAAGAAAATTAATTTAATCAAAGTTTTCTCAAAATTCAAATTTACAAAAAAAAAAATTATCAGCTGATATGGTTTCAAGTGCTAATAAGCAACATGACGCCAAACGAAATGCAAATTTAATTTAAATTTCTAACGTTGCGAAATTAAATAACTTACCTGCAAATCTGATTTTAATTAGATCTAAAGGATGTAAAATGAGTGTCGATGTCACACCACCAGATATCCCTCCTAATAAATGTTCGTATCGGAAATGCGGAAGCTTGATAAAATTATCCGGAAAAAAACGGTTGGCCGAACTTGATTTCACCGATGTCATTTTACTATTCTGATGGTCTCCTCCTTTGTGGTCATGACTCGACGACTCCAGATCTGGAGATTTGATTTTTCAACCAGAAAATAATAATAATAATAATTATAATTATTATTATAATTTATTTTAAATAAAAAAAAAAATATATAATTTTTCACTTTTTCAACGTAAAACTCGGGTGATGCAATCCTATAAGGAGAAGAACGGCCATCTTACATGTCATTCTTCACACGACAGACAAAAAAAAAAAAAAAAAAAAAAAAAACTGCGTTAAACTGATGCGGTTTATTTAAAAAATTCTTTTCATGTAATTAATTATATATATATACGTATTTTTAAACGCACTTGTCATTGACGTAAAAAAAAAAAAATCAATAAAAACAATTTTTTAAATTTATAATAATAATGATAATAATACTGTGAAAAAAAAATTTTTTTTTAACGAACTGTTTCTCTCTCTCTCTCTCTTTCTCTTTTTTAAATTAATTAATTGATTACTACGATTAACGACTTTTCTCTTCACTAATTCAATCGAATGATTTTTTTTTTATAAAATTTCTATAGATATATTTTTTTGATTAATGCGCATGCGCAAAATTTTTTGTATCTAATTCAAAGAGATTTTTATGCATAAGCAATATATATATATTTGAAAACGTTCGATTTGTGTCGCCACATGGCAAACACATTTTATTTACTCTATGGTTTTTCTGCAACCAACTTCACGAACGTATTTAATAAAAGTGATATGTTGAATTTGAGAATAAATGACAGTCTATTATTAGATTTTGTGTCGTTTTTATGACAACGATTTCATAGGTATTCTCTCAAAATTTTTTTCGTCTCTATTCTCTTTTAAACTACATAAATATTATTTAAAAATAATAATAATAATAATAATAATAATAATAATAATAATAATACGTTTTTTATGCTTAAACTTTCATACAAACTTTAATTCCTGTAATTCATTCATATATATATATATAATTATCGAATCTACATATATATTTTAATACGATATCGTTATATAATTTTTTCTTAATTAATTACTTTATAATATAATTTTTAATTATCGATATGAATTAGTTTTAGTTTTTTTTTTTAATAATGCTTATCTTATCAATTATGATTTATTATTAATAATAATAATAAATAATAACCTAATAGTAAATTTTTCATTTTACTATTATAATTTTACCGCATCAGCATGTTTAATAATAATAATAATAATAATATTCACGTAAAAAACTTAAATTATTTTTTTTTAAAATATCAAAATTATTATTTAACCGCCTGCGACAACCATTATGTGATGTTACATACAACGTTGTCAAATCGTCAAATTAAAACAAGTACCGCGTCATTTTTTTTTTTTTACCGTTACTATTTCAAAACCTGTTTTTTAAGTAAATCCGACGAAATAATAATAATAATAATTATAATTAAAAACTGACGTAATGTAATTATTTTCTAATAATAATCATTAATTAATGTTTAAAAAAAAAACATTAAATAAATGATCTAATTTGTTTATTATTATTAATATATATAATAA